AAATTCATGTACTAAACTAAAGGCTAGGCACAAATTCAGAAATTATTAGCTGTGGAATGTGTATGGGTCAGAGAATTGCAAAGGAGCAGACACTGAGCTGGATTCTACTTTTCAGATATGTATAAAGAATCAATACAGTGGCTAGGAAGGGAGTAAAGATTGATATGATTGCCTTGAAAACTGCAAGCAGAGATAATGTGGAACACTGAGCAACTGTATGTAGAGGGCAATAAGCAAATGAACTGTAGTCAGTGAGCAGGAGGCATTTATTATGATAAGGTGATAAAAAAAAGAAAAGCAGTTAGCATAAAAATGTAAAATGTGAAATTAAAAAATGTGTCACCCTGTGTTGTGGCCAACACTGTGCTTGAACAGCAAATACAGTCAGCCTATACCCAACAGTAGAGTTAATGCAGACTGGAAGGTTAGAACCGAAAGACAAATGAACACCAGCAGAAATGGGACAACTTTATGCAACTAGAAAGTAGATTTCAGCACTCTCAGGCACAACTTTATTCACTTGAGCTCAAAAACAAAAAGTCCCTGGATGTGGACGATAAGAGGCTCATTAAGCACTATGTGTCCTAGTTCATTTTCCCCTCTTAATTCCAGAGCAGATTCACCATTCATAAGAAATTATTCTGCTGGATCCAGATCACAACATTAGTATAGCACATTCAGGTCAACAAAAGGTTTAAACTGTATTCTCAAACACACCTCCAATCATCTAAGACAAACATCCCAATAATATGTAATACTTCTCTCAACTAAAGAGTAACCTAATTTTAAAATCAGGAAAGCATGACTTTATTTGTGGGACAAAATACAATAATGCTTTCAGACAGTTATTTTAACTGCTAGCAAACATGATATTCAAAACTTACATGCCTTTAAAATAATCATTTTTAGACTGTGTTGCATTGATAAGGTAAACATGCATTTGATTAGTCCATATGGACTGTGACAAAATGTGTGGCTAATGTAGGCAACTGTTTTTAATAGTTTTAATTGAACAATCAAATTAAAGCAAATTCTATATTCTATACATGTTTAATGCATCTCCATAAAACAACACAAAAAATTTAATAGTTACCAGAAAAATTATAGCATAGGCTATTTTATTACTCCTCGCTGGTAAAAACTAACAAAATCAAACAAAATGAACAGTCCATTGTTCTCTGTCTTTCATTCACTCCCCCTTTGGAGTCTGGGCTTCTTCCTGCAGCACACCAGTCATCATCTTTCTAAGCCCTTTCCAGGTTAACACATACCCCAGGTAAAAGGGAGCACATAACATTTATACAGAGAGGGGAGCAAATAACAGATGCCTCCTCTCAGATAATGATTAAGCCGACTACTGTCATAGTAGTATAACGTTTTTCCTTACTGAATCTCCTAACAAACATCTTGTCTTAAAATTTATGTTTCTTTCATATTAAACAGCTTCTAGTAGGACCATCTTGTTCATTGTGTGAGGGTGGAACTGAAGGCAGTTTTTCTCAGAGATAAATTGAAACTGTATTTCACGCTTGATGAAACACTTGCTCTGCTTGTACTGGTAACTCCACCCAAGTGCCATTAATGAAGACATCTTGACAAGGTTTTGGTCTCAAAACCAACAAGACCAGAATAGTCACATTTTGTGTGTTGGGCCTCTTAGTAAACCATTTCTTTCCTTCTCATTTCATTGAGATTACGATGAACAGAGACCAGTTCTCTTGTGTGAAGTATTGTGAGTTCTTGAGAAATTGCAGAACAGATCACCATAAAATTCCCATTATGTCTTGTAACATAAACCTCAATATTAATGCAATAAACTTATGATTAATGCAATGAACGTATGTTTTTTACATATCAATTGTATTAACAATTTCTGTAATAAAATGAAAATTATGTTAATAATATATATCATTTGGGGATTTTCAAAATCAAAAATTGTAATTCATAATAGAAAATGCCTTTATCATTACATGTCTTCATAATTCTCCCACGTTAATGCAGTTAGCACTCTATAACATTAAAAAATTCACAAAACAGGCAGCAGAATTACAAAAAGAAAAACTAGGAGAGCTGTCCTCACAATATGACTACGACTATTTTGCCTGATACATTATGCTTTTGGCAGTTTGTTGTTTAATTAAAAGTACATGTTGTACAGAAGATATTTTGACAAGATACTGTATAATACATCCAAAACCCTTTTATCCTACAGACTTGTTTGTTAGTGCTTTATCTTCTAAGAGTCATACTTGTGTTCAACTGTATGCTAAATTTCTTTTACACCTGAATGGTTTCTGTAGAATAAATTGATAGTGGTGATCCTCTTTGATCCTAGGAAATTTTGCAAGGATTGGAAGTTTATATATACACATATGATTACCTCCAAGATAAATCTAAAAGAAATACAAAATTAATTGATCTTTTGTTAAATATTCATCTTTATTTAATTTTGACTTAACATGCTACAAATTACTTTATTATCACACATGCTTTTTGTAAAATCTGTACTTATTTAATCTGTAATTATTTTGAAATTTCTTCACGTTAAAAAGATTTGATCAGAAGTGAAACAACAGTCATATTAAAGAAGAGCACTTGAAATTCCTTTTAAAATGTTTAAAATGTTATATTATTTTGCAAATCTTGCTTTTTCTAGAAATGCCATACACATAGAAATGTAAATTTTCTGTAAAGATAAAATAATTTAAATGATTCAAATATCATCCCCACATTTACAAACTCACGGTACTTATTTTTTCATGACTAAACCATAGTGATATTTAGCAATAAAGCATTTTTGTTTTATAAATTACAATTCGGGATGTTGAAAATCCCTAAATAAAAATCATGGGCTCTGCATGAATAACTCAAAATGGTAAGGTTCTTTAAGTGAAATATAATATATTTTAAAAATCTAGCTCAATAATCTGAAGATATCACACATATTTTTTAATATCCTATTGGTTTCAACCAATTGCGGGCAACTTGTTCCAGAGTACCATAACCTTTTGTTTAAATCTTTGTGTAAATTAGTGCTTCCTGTTCTCTATTTTAAATTCACTTTCAGTTTTTCACTTAGTACTCACAGAGCACAGTTCTAGATCAGTGTCCAGCAGCAAACTCCTATCCACATTTGTGGATTTATTCAACCTCTGTATTCATTATATTGATTAGTTAATTAGTTAATTTTGTCAGTTTATTCATGAAAGACAAAGTAGAATCAGCCACATAAATTGTGCTCATGTACGAAAATATTTTATATGTTCAAATTAGAACAATGTTCTGAATCAAACCAGATATCATTCAATGCTTTCTTCTTTAATACAACATTGTTAGCCATGAATATTGTTTTCACATTTCTGTAATATTTTTTATATATACAATAGAAGACACCTGGATAATCATCTAAATTCAATGCCACATTAATTCAGACTTATTTTGTCAATGAAACTGGGACTAAATAAATTTGCAATAGTGATAGGTAAAACATGTAGTGCAGTGTAGTGTACTGTTACAAATATGAGAATTACAGAAATAGACTGAGTGAGATAATCATTAATTAAAATAAATAATCATAGCCCTCAAATTATAATTCATTAAACAAAGACATTATTCTTCTTTCCCTTTTGCATTTCTTTCTTAATGTATATATTCTGCTGAGCTTATCTATGTGATAATTAAACTGTGTCTCACCAAACATTTTATCTCTTGGGTTTTAACAATCCTGAATGTATTAAATCATTTTGCATATCATTTGCTTGTATCGTTTTTGACATCAATGGCCTATTCCCACTAAACAGTAACATGGAGGTGCTGTGGAAACTCTATGTTGAAATAGGCTGTTTATACAGTACAGTATGTGCAGATGCCTTCCATGACGTATTCTATTTTTATAAAAAAAACATTTTTCTATCTTAAGTATTAATTATTTTAATAATGAACATACTGTATACAATACGCCAGCAACCATATCACCCTGCAGCTTTCAACTGGCTACCCATTGAAGCTAAGTAGTGTTGAGCCTGGTCAATACCTGTATTGCAAACCTAAAGTAGTTTGGCAAATGACATGACATATGCAGTACAATACATATTACAATATATTTGAAAATATAATGCCATGGTATCTTAATTAGTTAGGTACTAAGTCAACAACAAACTGCATAGCTGGAAGAACATGATTACATTTAAGGTGTTACACAGAATATTTGATGTTATTTAAGGGGAGATTGACAATGTTTATTCATTTCAATAGGCTTTTCCTTTTTTGTCTGTCCTGACACGTTACAATTAATTTGCTGCTGTATAGGCCTCAATAAAAAAAACAAAACTCCTATTTATTCAAATGAAATATTATTATTTTCAAATAATCTACAGTATATATGACATTGTTTAATTGTTTGCATTTCACATAATAAACACAAATCATTGGTTTGTCTTCATTTTATCTATGAATGTATATTTTTTTAAGGTTTCTGTGTAAATTGCTAAAAGCCAATGCCCATTGCACAGCATCGAGTAGATATCTGTGTAAAATATTATATGCTTTGTCTATTTCATACTCACTTTTTCGTACTTTATGTAACTGAAAGTGACTTAGAGAGAAAGAAAATCATAATTTAATTCTTAGATGATTTGATAATCTTTTTTACATATTAGCTGCTCTTGTTTCAGATGCAACAAATCAAATGAAATTCTTTAAAATTGCACAATACATGACACATGATATACTTGTATTTAAAAACCATGAAATATCTGTTAACTAGAGACCTGAGCCAACACAGCCCTGGATAAATGTATTTATATATACATTATGTAATAACAGTCATAAAAGATATTGTAGATATTACACCAAGGTGGAAAACTGTTTTTGTCCCATGAGATTTTTTTTTTCAATATACCTGTACAGTAGATATACAGTAGATCTACAATATACAGTAGATGAAAAATGGCATCTTTTATTCCATAACTGAAAATGATGTTGTTTTCATTTTTTTAAAGGTTTGGATTCATTCTTCATAAAAATGAACCAGTTCTTCATAAAATTGACCTTGAGACAACATCCTATGTGAAGAAGATAAGCCTGAAAGAATATAACTGTATACCAAAGTCCATGGCCTATACTCACCTGGGAGGCTACTACTTCATCAGCTGCAAGCCCAACATGACTAATGCTATTAAACCTCAGCTCATAGTGGACAGTATAACCGACTCAGTGATTGGATATAATGGAAATGTAACTGGCACCCCGTATATGTCTCCAGATGGACACTTCCTTGTCAGTATTGATGATGAGAAAGGTCTTATGAGAGTGCAGTCAATTACAATCCGAGGTGAGATTCAGGAAGCTTTTGACATTCACACAAATTTACACATCTCTGAAGTGGCTTTCCAACCTTCCTTCACTGAAGCACATCAGTACAATGTCTTTGCCAGTTCTGGGCTACAGACAGATGTTTTGTATGTTGAGTTAGCCACTGGTAAAGTCAAGATGATAAAGAGTCTCAAGGAGCCTATGAAAGCAGTAGAATGGCCCTGGAATGCCAAGAACCGTGTGATCAAGGACAGTGGATTGTTTGGTCAGTACCTCATGACACCTTCAAGAGAATCTCTGTTCATTTTGGATGGTCGACTGAACAAGCTGAATTGTGAGATTACTGATGTGTTGAAAGGTAACACAATCATGTGGGTTGGGGAACCATAAACACTTACTGTCGCTCCTTATGTGGGATACTGTTGCACTCAATTGGGTATTCAATGTACACCCTTTTTCCATTTTAATAACATGTAAAAAGTTATTTTTAAATAGAAAAAAGTTAATAGCCCAATGCTGGAAAAACCTAATCACAAAAAGAATGGAAACAAGTAACTGACTTAGAGTCAGTAGGGATTTTTACACTAAATTCTGTATTTAGTTATATAATTTATGGTATAAAATTGAAACAGACATAATTAATCTTTAGCCACAAAGAGTTTTGAAATGCCATAATTAAATTAATTTGATTTGTGATCCATATATCCCATTGATTTTTCTTTGGGATGAAAACAGAAAAAAGATGTTGCTTGACCTTTAATATTTGAAATTTCAGCATCAGCGTCTTGTCCACTGTTCAGTCGTGCTTTTGTGCCTTCAAGGGATACACTTACATGATCTGCAGCAAAATAATTATCCCCATTGTGGCTATAGAATGCTTGTTATTGAATATAACGGAATATAATTCAGATCACCACTACTTTCTTTCATGAAGAGTGGAGGTTTAAACTTTTAAAAAGAGGGTCAGGTAAACCCCTATAAATACATCTTCCTTATTGGGGTTTTTTGTGTTTTGTCTAATGTTGAATGTTCAAATAGGTGATTACAAGAGGATACACAACAACTGTTGTTTTGATTTAATAATAATTTGCAATATTATGAAAGAAAAAAATGTGAGTTAAACAATTGGCAACAGAAATTTACTGAAATTGTAGTGCATGCAGGAAAGTCAGAGTTTTGTTTGGCTTCAAAACTAGCTGATTCACTAAGAAATCTACAATGAACATTATCTATTTGTAAAATAAAACTGATTGGTAAGCTTTGCTTAAGTTATAATTTACAATAGGTTTTGAGGTGTGTGCAACCAGGATAAAGCAGTAAGATGAGCCCTGGCTGAGACACATGTGTTCTGATGTGCATCTCATGGGAAGAAAAGACTTTACTGTTGATTCTCAATTATATTAAAGCACCATGAAAAAAAGAATTAGGACCAATGCTTTATGCAAAATATAGTTCAATTTTAAATAAAATATCCTAAAATGCTTTCTGCAGAACCTTAAAATACAGTTGTCATAATATTTGAGGATTTTAGTTCTGGAAATAATGAAAGTAAGAATCAGACTTTTGAACATCTTTTGAAATACTATAAGCACAAGGTAGTGTGTGCTTCTTAGAACAATTCTCTACCTAGATGGTGTAGTCTATGCATTTTCATTCTTAAAACCTGCCTAGATAAGGGCATTTTTAGGATGAACCTTTTCAGATTTAACAAAGTTCTTAGGTTTCTTTGGATTATTGGGCTTAAATTACACAAGGTTTAAGCTTGCTAAATGGTTGCTGACTAAAAAATAAATTTTATATTTTTTATTTTAATGTTAACCTGCTGTAAAACTTCAAGGCAATCATTTAAAAGTTTGATCTTTTTATAATACTCTTTGACATAGAATAGAACTTGTCATATCCTCACAGCTTTTTACTAATGTCTTGTGACTTATAATTTTTCTAGTTGTGTTAACAAAATAGTTAAATGGGCAGTGTGATATACCACTTGATAGTTTGCAGACGTGTTTGAAAATTCAGATGATAATTTCTAGAAATTGAACCAATTTCATTTTTAAGAAAAAATATTTCTTCATAACTGATCAAGTATAAAGTGATGTTGATTAATAAAATTTTGTCTTTTACATTTAGTCATGTATGTTAATTCATGTGGCTGTTCTTCATGTAGAGATATGCTTGTCACTGACAGAACAATAAAGCCCATACATTTTAAAATATAACTGTCATGACTTTTTGTGTCTAAATTTATATGATTAATTAAAGGTGTACCAAAGCATTACACTTTACTAAGCTAATCTTCAAATATCCAAATTCAAATGCATTTGAGGTATTACTTTTCTCTCATGCAGCTTGCTCAGGATTAGTGTTCCAAATTATGACTTTAAAATGCACTTCTCAATAGTTTCCGTTTGTATCCTCTGTTTTTTTGTTTCATTGCTCATTTTAAATAAATCCATTGGTTTCTCATTATCTTTGGTGATTTGTAAACTTTACTCAGGTCTACTCTCTCTCAAGTGGAGACATGGTAGCTCAGATGGCAAGGGTGTCTAGCTCCTGAGCAGAAGGTCCTGGGTTCAATCCCAGGTAGGGGCGTGATGTAGCTTGCTCTCATTCCTTCCAGACAGCTTCCAGGACCACTCAGACTGTTTTTCAAATGAATACTGGGTTAATCCTTCCAGGGGTAATAGGCTGTCAAGAGTGTGATGCTGACCATATCACTTCCACCTCCAGAGTTGGATGATGAAAGAAAAATGGTGGCCTTTGCCCCCCCCCCCCATTCCCCATGGGTCTTCTTGGCCTGAAAAAGGACCTATCTACATACAATGAACATTTTTGATCGAGTAAATTTAGACATGCAATGTTTCAGAAAAACCCTGAAGGAGAATAAAGTAAATGAGAAGCAAATTGGCTACAGGTGTTGGAATGCAAGTCTGAAAACAGGTACTGTACTAGCAGCAGGGATTAAAACTCTGTGATTGGCAACAGAAAATGCTATATGACACAGATAGATAGCCTGATGTTGATGTAGGAAGAAATGGTTAGAGATTCAATTCTTGCTGAGTTTTGTTAGGACTGAACAGATGAGGACACATTTCAAGAGGAACTTTCCCCTCCAAAAGAAGAAATGTGAGTTCCAGCTTTGTGAGTGGAAAGAGTCAAAGGCCGACACCTTACCAGTAGGACTTCAACAAAGGGGTTTGTACAGCAATGTGGCAACCCATCACCATGGTAGCCAGAGTTATAACTGTGGTGGGGGCACCAGATAAGGTGAGGGCTGTGATCAAGAAGACACAGATCCATTGCAGATTGACATCATGTGCTCACACACATGGGAGCAGATTGAACAACAGTGACCAGGGGGCTTCATAGGGGACTATGAAAAATATGCCTTAAGTGCAGTGGGTTGGGCTGATGGTTTAGGTCTGATAGCATGACGGTAACTAAAATAAAAGAGCAGACGGGAGTAGAGATGTTTGATTTCAAGAATTTGAAGTTGAATGAATAATCTGATCATTTTGAAGAGTATTTAATTATCCATATTACTGTTCTCATAGTCAGACCACTTTCATTCCAACAGCTACATGGCAATCTTCATTACTCAAGGCACCATAGTTATATTGTTCACTGTTAATTAATATAATGTCTCTTAAATGACTGCTGATAAAAAATATTAATCAACTCATTTAGGCAATTTCGCAGCTAACAAAAATTGGAAATCAATTTAAATCACTCATCCTCATAATTCTGTTGTGCCACTAAACAACACTAATCAAATAATCTACAAGCCTATCAGCTCACTATTTAAAATGTAAATAACATCCATTTATACACTGTTCCCCATGATTGTCTTCCAAGAGTCCAAAACATATCTGATAAGGACAATACAGGATCTGCAGACTCTCTGTCAAGTTGAGCAGGTGTTTTCTTGGAGGATATCAGGTCATGTACTGCATAATGTAGTCGTGGTGCATTCTCATTGATGCCCCAGATTTGCCTCTAGGATTTCAAAGTAGGGTGGGTTTTCATCTTTGGGTTTCAAAGTGGAGATCTCCTTCCCAGACATATTTCCTCCATGTTCTTTGGTCAAGAGCCATAACTACTCACAGGTTGTTGATGTTGCCTTTCTTATGTTTTATTTTAATTTTATGTTTGAAACATTTCTTCTGGCTTCCATTGGTAGGATTGTTTTGGCAAAGTTGAGAGAAGAGATCTTTGTTGGGATCATGGACATCTTTATAAAATATCACCTAACCCAGTGGAGCTTACGTTGATGATCATAGCTTCAATTCTGCTTGTTGCCAGCTTGGGAAGGAACAATGAATTTTGGTGCATCTGTCCTCCAATATGATAAGAACAATCCTCAGCAAATAGCATATTGTTTCATCACCACACATAAAAAATAGGAGGAATAATAATTGCATAGTAGACTACCAGTGTAATTTCAGTTTTATGTTGCAATCCTGAAATACCCAGTTTCTAAGGCAACCAAAGATTGCACTTTGATATTGCAAGTAAAACTGTGTTTTTGTATTAACATCAGCATTTTACAAAAGATAATTTTCAAGATATTGAAAATGTTCTACATCCTTCAAATACACATAATAAATATGAACATATTGTAGTTAAAGGGGAACTTCAACGCTATTTTTACATTCCAGGATTAATAATGAATCAGCAATAATGAGTGCATTTCAAACCACAATGAAACTACCAAGTATATGGTAACAAGTACAACCTCCAATTTACATCACATCAAAGATGACATTTCAATGTATGTATAGCACCATATTGCTGTCATTGTCTGCGATCCAGAACAAGGCAACAAAACTTCCATTGATGTGAAAGTGGCCCTATTACATTGTGAACATGCTTAAGACCAACCTAATTTTGTACTATATTAACTGTAAATATTTTTGTGAAACCGCCAGTGATGTTTTTTTTAGATAGTTTATAAGTTTTGCAAAAGAAGAGCAACCTGCCAACCAACTGAAATACACTCATATTCATTTTCCGGTTTTGCAAAAATGCTCTATCATTTACATTGATGGTTATTATGGTAAATCACACCTAAAAGAAATATTCAAGTATCACTTTTATTTTTGCAAGGCTTGCTGTGCCATAGCCCATGCACTCACCTAAACAGCTGATTTGAATGAGTGCAATTCAAATGAATTCAAAACATCCACTTTCAGTTTTGCCAAAAATAATACTTGTTAACTCTACATGCAGATCATATCCAGACATTTCTGGGGTGAAATAGCTGCTGCACAACCTGTACTTATTCGATTGTACTGTACATCACGCTGAGTGCATCGTGAAACTAGTTGCTGGAATCAACATCCATGTCCATGTTTATTACCCACCTCTTGGTTAGTTCAATACCCCTTAGAAAAAGAAACAGTTTGACATTCTGCAGATTGGATCCTATGTTTTGTGTGCAGCCACTATGTTCTGAATAGCCAAATACTCGATAGTGAGGGATTGTTAAAAAGACAAAAAGTTAAAAAAAGACTTGAGTTTAAAAAGACAAAAAAGGATTTATGAAGTTAAGAGACCATGTTTCCCATTTGCTTACAGCGACTAGTGAGCAAATCACAATTCTCGTAAACTCTCGCTCTCATCTGTGAGAAGAAAAGGGGTTTCTCATCTGCTTGCGACAACATGGCAACCATTACTGTACTTTTACAAATTTCTCAAATTTACAAATTATTTGAAATTAGTTCTACATCTCCTTCTCATATACTTCAACAAATATGTTGAAAATTGTCTGAAGGTCCATTTCTCTCAAAAGCACATCACCATACTGGAGTCCCATGACTGAAATCAGGATCAATAGAGTTGGGAAAATATCACACCATTTTTTTACATCTGTCTAGACTAAAGTTCTCCATAATAGATCCATTGTTGAAGAGTACTGCACATATACCGTCATCTGAAACCAGGCAAAGAATACTGACAAAATTTATAGGGAATCCATACTTTAAAAGGATCTTCCAAATAAATAGTGGATACTGTATATTCAACAAACAAAGATGTCCTTTTTCTTAAATATCATCACAATCATGGCATTCTTAAAATCATTTGAAATTACTTTGTCATTTATGATAAAAGTAAGGATATATTTTTTAAAATTTCTATTTACTGTGCTTAAACATTTCAGTGAAAATTCAATTTTTGTTATTCATGTGATTGTTTTCATCAGCTCATGAAGTGCTGTTAATAGTTCCAAACTTCTTCCTTACAGTGTGGCAAATAGCACCAGCACTCACTTCACTTTTGTGTCTTCATCATTGGTGTGTCTGTTATTGTTCAGTTAAGAGTGAGTATAAAAGTTTAAATTTATAATAATATTCAAACACTGATGTTTTATAATGAGTACTGAGACTTTCCTGTTACTCTACTAAGATGGCACAAAGAATAACTTGATTTTGACGAAGATAATAAGACGTCTACATGAGTCAGAAAAAAGAGGAAAGAAAGGTGGTGTGCAGCAAAGACTCAAGAAAACTTCAGTTTAATCACATACAGTACCTCTCCCTTATATTATCCTGGCAAGTGTGAAATCACTCACAAGTTATACAGACGAGCAACAGGTTTAGGGCAGCAGAGAGAATCGTCCTATTCAGCATTTTTAGAACAACTTTCCCTGTGCTCCCAATTCCATTACCAGAGATCTTAACCACTAGACCCTATAAAAGTCACTTAATCATTTTCATCAGCATGTTACCTGTCCAACAAGGTATAATAGGGTGATTGACTTGTGCTACAGATCAATTAAGGAGACATACAAATCCACTACTAGTGCAGTTCACCTGACCACAATATGGTGCATTCGGTTCCAAAATAAATTTTCATTTCCCTGAAAAGAAGTAAGGTGCTTCCAGTCTGGATTGAGAACTCTGTTCAGAGACTGAAGGATTAGGAGACTCAATTTCTGATCTTGAGGAACTGACAGATTCAGTTATTATTAACATAACTTTTGGTGAAAATATTGTACTATTATACCTCTGAAATCTTGCACTATATCCTGTAATAACAAGCCCTGGGTGACAAAATTTCTCAAGTCAGCTCTAAATAGAAAAATAAGATCACTTTTCATCAAGATTAAGCTGGCAACATTAAGGTATAAAGTCGAGGGTGAAATGAGTGCCTGCACTGCATGGGAGGGTATCAAGTCAATGCTGGGAATGCATAAGTGGGGCAGGAGTTTTAGCACAGG